GTGTGTTAAGAGCTGTCCACATAGCTGCTGCAGTATCGCAGTGGCTGATCTTTCTTAACACTTGGTTTCCCACGTTAAGAACAATGAGGTCTTTCGCTTTCTCCGACTTCCCGAGCTTATCGGGATCAATGGTTGGTGTGGAACCCGTAGCCTCTGATTCTGGATCCTTTAAGACCGCATCTCCGTCCTCCTTGGTGACTGGTGAATCCATCAGAAGTTTCTCATCAGTTAAGATATCCTTTAGCCCTAGGACACCAAAGTGAGCCAACATCCGAACCTTCCATAGCGAGAAATCTCCCGTCCCGTCGAATCTATCGATTTCAATCCTTGTTTTAATCATACTGTTAAAACACCCTAGCAATCAAAACCTGGATTGCTCTGATACCACTTGTTAGGATTTGAATCCAACCTTGAGCTTATAGAATAACAATCTATCAAACGTATCTTTTATTAATGATGCAAAAGAGTTTCACAATAACAACTTCTGAGATCACAAGCTTAATAACTAAACACAACTAGTTTAATATTGCTCTTGATCTTTCTCTCTCTCGTTATTGTCTTGGTTTTTCGGATGATCATAATGCTTGACTACCATCTGTATTTATAGCTCCTTCCACCGACATTGGTTTCTCCTTTTTCCTCTGTTAAAAGTGAAAAGGAAACTAACTTGATTTTCCTTTTGTTGCAGGTCTTCTATCGTTGCAGAACTTATTCGTATGGGCCAGGAATTGGGCCTTTCCTTCACAAGTTCGTGGGCCTATGAGATCGCATAGTGGGCCCATGGCGAGGCGGGAGAAGATAGAGCCGGCGAAGGAGGCGATTCCGGCGGCGGAGACGGTGGAGGCGGAGAGGTTGAGGTCTGAGGAGATGACTGGGATGAGTGGAGGGATGGAGAAGGTGGAGAAGAAGCATGAGAAGAGTGAGAGCCACGCTAGGTGGAAGGCGCGTGAGTGAGGGGAGGAAAGAGAGAACGGTCGGAACACGGTGGCTCGACCGGTGGAATCAACGGGATGTCGAAACGGTGGCGTTTCGGTGGTACGTTGAGATGGCTCCATTTTGCTCTGGCTATCTATCTTGACCGCCCGATCATTTGTATTCAAATAAATATCGTGATGATGCCTGTGGCTATAATTAATCGATCTTATGATAAAATCAGTTTCTTCAGTTAAATGAAAATATGCGGACAAAAATAATACTATTGGATCGCATAGTTACTATCTTTAGTGCTGTTCTAAGCTCATTACCTTGATATTTGGTACTTTTGTATTTTTGCCGAAATGGGACAAGAAAGATGACACGTTACGTTACGCACCTATCTCAGATTCATACGTTATCAAACCATACATCAAATCTAATCAATTCTGATTGACTTGAGTTGGTTTAGTCCGGTTATGTAAACCCCTTCGATATGCTCACTACTCCGTTTGCAAGAACAAAGAAACCCATCAATGTACACCAATTCTCACCTTGCATCGAGCAAATTCGAAGGACTTGTGTAGTCCTAAGATCAGATTTTTCATTGGTAAGTACATTCTCTAGCCAACACATTATCCATCGAATGTATTTTTCTTTTCGGGAAGGCTCCTAAAATCAAATTTGCAAATCCTTGGACTAGAAACATGTAGTATACATTAAAGTTATGTTCTCTAGTCACACATCCTTTTGGTTATTAAGCCAAAAAGATTGCTTATAGTTATAGGTAGATACATCTCTATGTCATAGAAAAAATCATAAGCACTTAGTTCCTTGTTTTCCTTGATGAGTTTCAGTCAATCTTTATACATGATTTTGGTTGTGATGTCTTGAGTTATGCAGAAATAAGAGTGTTCGAGGTGTTTCTCAGAACATTCGAAGTGAAAGAAGTGAGTACTATGAATAGTGAGAGCCATGAAGAGGACAATGAAAGATCGAGACCAAGCAACGTTCAAACGAAGACAACTCTTATAATACTATTTCAGTCGTCATGGCTCGGCCTTGTAGCGAAGCAAGAGGTCACACCGGCTACTTACCGTTCACAAGACTCCAGTGTCTATCTGAGTCTAAAGCTTGGATATTTAATCTGAGATATCATGTGTTAGATACTTTGTGAATTTATTATGATGTTACTATATTAGAAAAGAAAACAATTGTTGTGATTTGATTGTTGTTATACGATTATGAAAATTTAAAATTTGGTAATGACAAAACCAAAACTATTTATTAAAAGATACATAGAAAGTTAGAAACTTCTAATAACCGTAATTATTAATTGATCAGAAGCACATATCTAAATATATTTCCTTTTTTTGCCAACTAAAAAAGATACTGTACAAATATGGAAAATAATAGGTTTCAACCAATAAAAAGAAATATATTTAGAAACGCGTTTCTGTTTCTAGAAGATGTAATTCGAAACCTATAAATATAGATCAAGTTCGCTTTGCTTTCTTCTATTCTCAAGACTCTCCGAAATATAAATTCCTTCTATCTTATTATTGTTTCCATAAGAGTAAAGAAGATGTGTCCGATGAGGTTCGTATTAGTGTTCTTCTCAGCACTACTCGCTGGATACTTTGCGTGGATGACGATGGATTCTTCCCCGGAGCTTAACTCAGAAGACTCATCAGAGGAAGCCAAGGATAAAGATGACAAACAAGAACTCGATTTCAAAAGGAAGATGAGTAATGGGTTCTGGACGTTTGTTGATATGGCTAGCGGAAGATACCTTTGGAGAAATCTCAAGGAGTTATCAAGTCAATGAACAAGTTTAGATAATCAGATTTTCTTTCTCTTGTAGTATCCCTTGGATTAGTTGAATGTAAGAAAAAAACAATCTTTGTAATTCATATATATTGAATCACTAATGTGTTATTTGAACTCAGTCATATCATTGTTTAATCAGTCGAACTTTTACAATATATATAATTAATAGACTTCTCACCAATACTTGGCACAACCCAATGAAGAATTACTACATTCAATAACTACAAAGAACAAATCAAAGAACTGTATCAGCACAAAGATTAATTTGTCCATACGTTTATAACACTTCTATTCACTCCATAAAACTAAACACAAGAAAATTAAAATACTTCTTGTTGTTGTACCGAAGAATTTACTCTTATGTAAAAATTTTACGATGTATACACAAAAGTTTTGTTTAGTCACACATATCTTTTGGGTTATTAAGTCAAAGGATTGCTTATAGGTAGATACATCTCTATTTCATAGCAAAAGCTATAAGCATTTACTTCCTTGTTTCTTGATATATTTCAATCAATCTTATACAGTGTTTTGTTTAATTGTTTGTGATGTGTTGAGTTTTGCAGAAATAAGAACGTTCAAGGTGGTGCTTCTCAGAACATATGAAGTGAAGTGAGTGAAAGTGGATACTGGTACTGTTTTAGAAATATATGAGTAGAAAACACCGTTCAAACGAAAACGGTAGTGTTTCACATGATAACTCTTATAATGCTACTTCAGTGGTCATGGCTCGGCCTTGTAGCGAGACAAGAGGTCACTCTCGCTAACGTTCAAATATGATGGATAATAAAATATAGTTATCATGTGTTAGATACCTTGTAAATTTATTACGATGTTACTATTTTAGAAAAGAAAACAATTGTTGTGATTTTGATTATTGTTATACAGATTTTGAAAATTTTAAAATTTGGTAATGGCAAAACCAAAACTATTTATCAAAAGATAATAGAAACTTCTACTAACTGTAAATATTAATCAGAAGCACATACAGTATCTAAATAGATTTCCTTTTTTTGCCAACTAAAAAAGATACTGTAAAAATGGAAAATAATAGATTTCCACCAAATATATTTAGAAACGCGTTTCCTTTTCTAGAAGATGTAATGCAAAACCTATAAATATAGATCAACTTCTCTTTGCTTTCTTCTATTCTCAAGACTCGTCGAAATATAAATTCCTTCTTTCTCTTTTATCTTATTCTTGTTTCCATAAGAGTAAAGAAGATGTGTCCGATGAGGTTCGTGTTAGTGTTCTTCTCAGCACTACTCGCTGGATACTTTGCGTGGATGACGGTGAATTCCTCCCCGGAGCTTGACTCAGAAGACTCATCAGAGGAAGCCAAGGATAAAGATGATAAACAAGGACTCGGTTTCAAAAGGAAGATGAGCAATGGGTTCTGGATGTTTGTTGATATGGCTAGCGGAAGCTACCTTTGGAGAAATCTATCAAGTCAATGAACAAGTTAGATTAGTGTTCTCGTCTGTGCTTTGCCACTTGGTGCACAAAGTATCAGTTTCAACTTTCTTTGTATTCTTTAGATTTTGTAATATAAGAAAAAAACAAAAACAACTATCCATTCTTTGTAATTTATATATCTTGAATCGTTAATATATCATTGTTTAATCATTCAAACTTTATAATAGACTGTATAACAGACTCCTCACCAACACTTGGCACATCCCAATGAAGAATTACTACATTCAAGAACTAAATTTTTTTAAAAACAAACAATTGTGCGAGCGCAAAGAATAGTTTGTCCCTAATTTTTATACATTTATTATCCTCTCCATAAAAGTAAACAACAAAGAAAATTAAAATTCTTCTTCTTGTTGCTCATATGCAAGATTCTAATCGAGATAAAGAGGATATAATCACCTCTTGCACATCAATAACCTTTGAATCAACTCTCAAGATTAATTCAAAACCTTATTTCTGTTGCCTTGTTTAAAAAAAAAAGTCATTACAAAGGAAACATAAATGGGCTTCATTAAATGGGCCGAGTTAATAATTAGGTTAAGAAAAAGCCCGCTCAGGTGTTAAGAGAGGGAGATATTTCCTTAAAAAGGTAGAAACGAACCGGCACGCGTTTCTTGCTTCGATACGCCTCTTGTCAGTGGCGTATATTTCTATAGTGAGTGAGTGTGAGAAAGAGAGAGAGAGAGAGTAGAAGAATACTCAAAAAGCTCTGTTGCATTTTAGGTCTTTCTTTCCCTGTGGCTACTAATCTCTCTCTCTCTCTCGACAGTTAAATCGCTGTAAGTGTTCTCGAAACTTCCTTTCCAGATCCTTAAACACGATATCTCTCGCTTAGATCCGCTTCTTCCGCTTAGTAGTTGGTGGATTTTTTAAGCTGCATTATATATTTTTTTTCTGGCGTTTGATTGTCTGTTTTCGTTTCGTTATCTGCTCGAATCTGTTCTTTTTTTTTGCATGTTAGGGTTTTATCTGAATGTGTTAATGATCTGTCTGTAAAGTTTATTGTGACCATTGTTAGGTTTTTTTTTTTTTTTTGTGAAAAAGGCAAAAGCTTTGTCCTTTTTCATGTTGTAATCTCTTTTGTCTTGTTTCCAGGATTTTTATTTGGTAATGGCTGCTACAGCTACTGCTTCAACAATCCGTTACGCACCTGAGGATCCTAACCTCCCTAAGCCATGGAAAGGTCTTGTGGATAGTCGAACTGGGTACTTGTACTTTTGGAATCCTGAGACCAATGTTACACAGTACGAGAGACCACCTGGTTTAGCTCCTCCCAAGGTTTCTCCTCCTCGCGTAAGCTCTTCGGTTCAGACTCAGCAACCTTCTTCTGGGTACGGTTCGGGAAAGGAAGAGGATAAGTACAATAATGGGCCTAATAATGACTCTGGATCAAGGTTTAGTGAGGTACTAATTTGTATTTAGTGATTTTATATTTGCTTGTTAGTTGTTACTGTATTTATATCTGAAGTTTCATAAAGACCATTTGATATTTACTTGCCACATTGTATTTATATCCTTCTTGGTCATAAAATTCTCTTTCATTTGGGACAGGCTAGCAGAAATGGACCTACGAATTCAAGCAATGCTGCTAGTGGACTAGGGAATGCTTCATCTGGTGGATCGTCTGCTATAGTGCCTCCTTCTTCGGCTGCAGGGAATGAAAAGTTGTCTCCAGAGGCCTATTGCCGCCGCCATGAAATTACCGTTACTGTTAAGTATTCATGAATCTCTCTTGGAAGACGTTTATGTTTGTATCTCTTCATTTAACCATTAACTGTTTAAGTTTCTGTGCCCTACTGACTCTGCTTTTCATTTTTTTTTTTTGCATTCTTGCTAGGGAGGCCAAGTACCCCCACCTTTAATGTCTTTTGAAGCCACTGGTTTCCCTCCAGAGCTTCTGCGGGAGGTATGGGATAATCTTTCTTTCCATATCACTGTCACATCATGTTTTTTTTTTATCCTCACACTGTTATATGGTTGAGGAGAGTAATATGTTTATTTTCACTTTGCTCTTCTAGTGGGCTAGACTAGTAGGTTTTGTTTTTCCATGTTGTATTCATTGTTTTAATACTTGTATGAAAGAGTTATTTTGTATAATCGTCAAGACTTATTATGTCTGCGTTCTTCAACTGTTTTTGCTGTCGGGGAATGGGCTATATTCTATTCCCATACTGCTGTCCATACTGCTGGCTGCTGAGCTGGACTATTTCGAGTTTTGTTTGTTTGTGTATTGGATTTAGTGATTATGGAGGGAGCTACTTGGCTTACTTTTGCAGAGTTATTTTATCTGCTAGCCATATTGTCTTATGATAGTTATATTTTATAACTTTAGCAATTACTGGCGGCTAGAGACTGAGTAGAGTCAAAGTTGTATGCCGCGTGCACTCTCTTTTGTCCCAGGTGCGATATTTGCTCTTGGAGGAGCTAATGTCGTACACTGTGCCACTTCTTTGGGGTCCTTGCAAATTATTTGGAGTGCCCTTTTTGGTGGACCAAATTTTTTGGTAAGGGCTTTCATATTAACCCAAAGCTCGTGGCAGAACCTTTTTGATGATGATGGTTCATTTCTCCACATTGTGTCTTTACACAAGTACATTCGCCCCCCTGTTGCAGGTGTCAAGAGCTATCTTTTGTCACCTGCAAACGGGAGGATGATGCTTCATCTGGCTCCATAAACCGTGAATAATAGCTATCTTTTGTGTTCATTTCTCTAAAGCGTATTCTGGTTTTTGTTTCTTTCAGTTATACAGTGCAGGCTTCTCTGCTCCAAGTCCAATTCAAGCTCAGTCTTGGCCTATTGCGATGCAAAACAGAGACATTGTAGCCGTCGCCAAAACAGGCTCTGGAAAAACTCTCGGTTACTTGATTCCAGGCTTCATGCATCTCCAGCGGGTCCGCAATGATTCACGAATGGGCCCAACGATCTTGGTACTGTCACCCACTAGGGAGCTGGCCACTCAAATCCAAGCTGAAGCTTTGAAATTTGGGAAGTCATCAAGAATCTCATGTGCTGTAAGTCAAAACTCCTTGATCCTATCAGTACTGAAACTTGCTTAGTTGAGAACTGTCTTATTGAGTCTTTTTCTCTGATGTTTCTGTGTAGTGCTTGTATGGTGGAGCACCAAAGGGTCCTCAGCTGAAGGAAATAGAGAGAGGTGTTGATATTGTCATTGCAACTCCCGGGAGATTGAATGATATCCTTGAGATGAAGAGAATAAGTCTTCATCAAGTGTCTTACCTTGTGCTAGACGAGGCTGATAGAATGTTGGACATGGGGTTTGAGCCTCAGATCAGGAAAATTGTGAATGAGGTTCCTACTAAGCGTCAAACCCTCATGTACACAGCCACATGGCCAAAAGAGGTCAGGAAAATCGCATCTGATCTCCTTGGTAACCCTGCACAGGTCAACATTGGTAACGTCGATGAGCTCGTTGCCAACAAGTCTATTACTCAGGTCTGGATTTGATTACTTATCCTGGTTTTGATTTTGTTAAGACATAACTACATTAACTGATCTGATGGTTTCTTTATTTATGATACAGACTATTGAAGTCATACCACCGATGGAGAAACAAAGAAGGTTGGAGCAGATATTGCGGTCTCAAGAACCAGGCTCCAAGATTATTATCTTCTGTTCCACCAAAAGGATGTGTGACACTCTCGCAAGGAACTTGACCCGCACGTTTGGAGCTGCCGCCATACATGGAGACAAGTCTCAGCAAGAGCGAGATGATGTGCTGAACCAGTTTAGAAGTGGCAGGACTCCTGTTCTTGTTGCAACCGATGTAGCTGCTCGTGGACTTGATGTTAAGGACATCAGGTATTGATATCGATCATAAGTAAGGTTTGAGACATATGATATACTAATGAAGCTTCTTGATTCTTACAGGGTGGTGGTGAACTTTGATTTCCCAAATGGAATAGAGGATTATGTTCATAGAATCGGAAGAACAGGAAGAGCTGGAGCTACCGGTATTGCGTACAGTTTCTTCGGGGACCAAGATGCAAAACATGCTTCAGACTTGATCAAGATCTTGGAAGGAGCAAGCCAGAAAGTTCCTCAGGAGGTCCGTGAATTGGCTACACGCGGTGGTGGAATGAACAAATTCAACCGTTGGGGTACACCTGGTGGTGGTGGTGGTAGTCGTGGAGGTGGAGGTGGCTATGGTAATTCTGGTTATGGTGGTCGTGGAGGTGGCCGTGGTGATTCTGGTTACGGTGGCCGTGGTGATTCTGGTTACGGTGGTCGTAGTGATTCTGGTTACGGTGGTCGTGGTGGTTCCGGTTATGGTGGACGTGGAGGTGATTCAGGTGGTAGAGGAAGCTGGTCTGATAGGTAAATAAAATCATAAACGACTCATTTACTCTTTTTAATGGGAACTTAGAAGATTGTTTTTTATTTTGGTTGGTTGAAGCAGTGGTCGTGGTGGCTCGGGATGGGGAAGAGAGAGAAGCCGTAGTCCTGAGAGATTCAACAGAGCTGGTGCTGCACAGTCCACTTCCTCTCCGCCTCGCAGCTTTCACGAGGCTATGATGATGAGACAGAAGTAGAGCCTGTTGGTTTGTTAACAGACAAGGGGATAATATAATTTATATGAAAGTGCGTACCCCTTTCGGTTAATTATTCATTTTGTGAATCTGTGTGTGGATCAGACTCGCTATAACCACCACACACCAGTACAAGAAGATGCTTAATCTAATGTTTTTTTTTTGTTCTACGGAGAAACCTTGTGTTTATATTATGAAGACAAAAAAAACTTGTTTATGGGCTCTTCTCCTTTGCTGATGGTTCTATTTTGATATAACATGTTCCATTAGATTTTAAAATCATCTAATTAACTCCTTTTTGATAGCCTTGCAATCGTTTGAATTTGGCTAAAAATGGTCAATTGATTTCGATCACTATCTGAATTTGGTTTGAAATGATCAATTGATTTCGATCAGTATACACGTGTTACTCTTCCTATAAGCTCTACGGTAGACCCTGCTACTTACAATGAAACACACTTATCCTCAGAAGAGATAGCATTGCGTTACAATAATAATAGAATTCAGACCAAGTTTTATCTCAGACGACTATAAAGACTTTGATATTTTGAAATACCAGGTTTGTTTAGTTATTAGATTCATAAATTAGTGAACATACTATCCCAAAAGAGAAAAAAAGAAACATCTACATATGTAACTACTAATCACTTTGCTTTGAATTTAGATAAATAGTTCAGTTGGTGATTACAGGAAGTCATGTCACCTATAAATCAAAATCGCCAGGTTCATACCAAAGCTAGACTGACATCTTTCGATTGCACACAGAGATTGTGAATAAGTTTGGTCAAGAAAATAGCCCATCAATATCTGATCATCACCGACCACATTATATTTTAAACGCCACAACCTAGTTCATAACATATTACTGCCTAAATAAACAAGTCACTGCTACTTTTTTTCTAACACAAACTTACGTTAATAAGAGATGACACTGCGTTACGAAAATATAAAGTTTAAGACAAAACCATCAAGATCTTCTCATCTCCATTGTTGTCTCACGAACCACCTCCAAAATCCTGCAATACTCAAAGAACAAAGAAGACTGTTCACCTTCAAGACCACTCCTGCTCACTCTGTTACCACCAGCAAGGTTGTTGCACGGACTACCTCCAATCACGAGATCAAACCCACCAACCCGCTTCATCAACTCCACAATCTTCTCGTTAGTTAGCTCTTGAACGTCTTCAAACTCTATCAACCTTCCTCTCTGGTTAGTTTGCTCCCAAAAGTCTCTCAAGATGTTTCTGTTTACTTCCGAAATCTCCACGGAGACAACTGTTCTCATCGGGATTTGGAGTCGGTGGAGCGCCACCTCTCCACCACCGATACCAGTGAACAGCGAGAGAACATTGATACCATCAGGAAACAAGGGTTTAAGCACAGAGAGATGATACGCCACCGTATCAACCTAAAACAAAAAGTTCAAACACAAAACATAAAGCAAAACGCATTAAAATGTATGCAAATGCAAAAAGTCAAAGTTACCTGAAAAGAATTGCCAAGTGACTTCAAACGTTGAGTCATACTAATGCCACCACCTCTTGTATGGTTTCTTGGAAACCCAAGAAGAGACTCAATCTCATCTGCATCGAGTGGAGCAGCTTTGTTTTTTCCCACCCATACAAGATTCCACCTCCTACACTGCTCAATGACCTTCCTTTTTGTCGCCTCAGGCGGTTCACCAGGATGAGCCTCAAGGGCTGAGCGGATCCACTTTGTTAACTGAGCACTAGCATGAACGGTAAGTATGCAGTTCAGTTGAGTCCTCGGATCCCATTTTGGCCACCATCTCCTAGTAGCCGGAAGCGCCTCTTGAATTGTTAGTTTTGGAGCAGGCTGAATCTGGAATCTGTTGCTGATGGGGAGGTTGTGCACATAGCCTCTCTTCCTCGCTGCAGCGCAGAAGAACTTTGAGTCAACAAATTCCGGTGTAACGTCATACAAATGCCTGGAGATCGTCTCCCAAACGCCTACAGGTGCATTGGCAATGTTTTCGTAATAGAAATACGGAGGGCCACGAGCTATTGCTGGGAGAGATCTGTGTGTGATGAACACTGACTCATTTGGAATCCCAAAACCTACCATCGGGTTTGGTAGGCTAAGTGGCTGTGCATTAGCAGATGTGATAGGATCTCTCCTTGGCACTATCCTCCTTTTGTTTATGTTCTGTCTTGGCTGCATCCACGAAAACAAGTTCCCACAAAATATCAGTAATCTTTCTTGGTTAAATAACTACAACAACTTATGAAATGAATTAACTGCAAGACTTTACTCTTATAGACGTTTTAGAGCATACCTTTTGTTCTTCAGGGTCAGTGTGAAATTCATCAAATTCTCGAGCTATCTGAGCGGCACAAATGAAGTCTGCGAGGTCTGCAATGCTCACATCGTCTCCTGAAATTTTATCAGATAAATTTATGGCAACACCATATGATAAATAAGTGAGAGAGAAATAGAAACTTGTAACAGCCTACACCATACAAGCAGAGGCTATGATAGATAAAGCCTAAACCGTGTAATGCCTAAGTATAAGGCAACACCATATGATAGTTAAGTGAGAGAAATAGAAACATGTAACTGTCTACACCACACAAGCGAGGCTATGGTTTAATTGAATCACGGTTTATGCTACTTCCTTGGGAAGAAACGTGAAGAAAAAAAAAGTAAAAGGGAAGCTCACCACATCTCTGTACAGCTAGAGAAGCTTCCAGCGCGGAGAAACCCATATGCCTCAATTGAGTGCAGCTATCAAATGACTCTGGATCTTTCTGTCATCGTTTAAAATAGATATTAAAATGCAAATAACTTATTACAACCACGGAACTAGTAATACCTCATCGTCATCATCACTTTCTGACCAGTCAATGTCCTCTTCCTCTGCCTTCAAACAACCAACAAAATTTTAAGATATTATTGTGAATGTTAAGAGACATGATAGCTTCACCATATCACCACTTACTTCAGAAGAGAGGAGGAGTGCATTCGCTATTTGCTCCATGTTTTCTTCTCCTACAAGATACAAAACGAATGTAAAGAAAGTCAAACAGAGTTTTACTTCTTAGTGTTTACCATGTTCATGTATGGCTTTGATGATCTTTTCCTCATGAAATCCCATGGCAATAAAATGAGCAACAGTGTTAGTCTTGGAAGAGCTAGCTTCACAGTTCATCTTCACAACATAATCATAAGAGTAAATAAAAATACACTAAAACATTCACAACTATTAATTATAACAAAGAAGGCATCAAAACTAAAACTAACCGAGTACGTGGAGATAGTGTCAATAATGGCGCAAGTTTCAGCATTTGGCCCTGCAATCACATTAACAAAAATAAGCAAAAAAAAACCAAAAAAATGGTATTATTAAACATCCAACAAGGCTCACCATTTTCCTCTATTGCTCTAGCAATCACGTCAACTGAATATCCCATGTCAACAAGCTTAGCAAACATGTGGTCTGAAGAAGTGTCTACATGAGATGATGATGATGGTGGAGATGACTGAAAGTTGTCGATCTCAAAATCCAAATCATCATCGCTATTCCAGGAAGAGTCTTGCACCTAAAGCATATATTAATGCACAAAGTTAGAAAAGGAGTGAGGAAATAAACGTACACAAATGAAATAACCGCAGAGTGTGTACCATTGTTGTTGTAACGTGACTTGTAGTTGAGCTAAAGAGATGGAAAAATGGTGGAGAATCACTGCCGCCGGCAGAAGTCCGATGGTTTTTGGTGGAAGTAGAGAAAGCACCGAAAATGAAAGGGTGTCTTTACTGAATAAGATAAAGAGTGAGTAGTAAAAAATGGAAACGGTTAATTACAAAAATACCCTTAATAACTTTTTGTTTTGTTTTGAAATTAATAAATATTGAAATAGCTGGCATCTTGCATGTGAAGATGCCAGCACATATGTCACTCTGATAGTGCAGCTGGCACATTGAAACTTTAACCATAGATCTTTCATTAATTACTTTTTCTTTTTTTGAATCAAGAAATTTACAAGTTTATTATAGTCATAAATTTATTTATAGTATAAGTAGTTTTAGTAGAAAAACTTTGTTTCAAGATATAAGTAGTTTTAACATTTCAATAATTTTTATATTTGTTGAATATCAAGTGACCAATTAGATTATGTAGGTTTTTATAATTGTTTGAAATTATATACTAAATGATTAAAATTAACAAATAATCTCTTGTAAAATATTGATGGTTTTAATTAAATTATTTACAATTTGAAATATAGGAAGTAGTAATTATTTAAAATTTAACGTTTCACAAAATCTCTAAAAGTGTATAACCGTATGAATAAAGAGATTTTAGGCATAAATGCCTTAAGATTTTAATAGTTATTCAATATATAAATATAGAACGAAAAACTCCTAACCGTGATAATAATCTAAAAGGCCATGTCCCGAAATTTACTTGTACTAGGCTACAGTATATGAAAAATTCAAATTTGTGGATCATAATGTATACATTATAGTTCGTTAGTAGTGGTATGGTCAAACACGTGACGATCGAAAGAAGTATGGTCAAACTCATGCAAATTGTAGCTAGTCAAAGACCGTGCATACACTAATAAGAGTAACGAAGTTATTTTTAACTAATAATAAAAAATTGTATATCATCCATATTCCGTGGGATCAATAAACGACAGAGATACATTAATAAAAATATGAAAGCTAATAATAATAATAATAATCTTGACAAAAGGCTAACTTAACTCCATCACTTAATCAACCTGCATATGCATCTTTAAATAGAGATTTTGAAGTCATTTAGAGACCACCGAGGAAGGAACATTGCTTTCGGGCGTGGTCAGGTATAAGCTTCGACAACATCTCTTCGCTTACTCCTTTAACCTCTGCCATTAATGCAGCAACATACGTTAATAATAATCTCTTCTATAGTAAACAAACAAATGCGTAGTAGGAGGAGGCAGACCTTGAGGTTTAAAGTTGAAGAGAGGAGGTAAGGGACGACCATTAGGTAGACGTGTGTTGGCGTCACGTAGCTCATCGAAGAATGGGTGAACTATTGCCTCCATCTATAACCAACAAGTGTTATTGACTCAACCAATTATAATATTGCATATGTGATGTGACAATAGTGAAGATTCAGTGGACTTACAGCGGTTGATCTGAGGTTTGGAGAATACTGGAGAAGTCTTGAGGCGAGGTCTACAGCTTCTGGAGGTGTACGCTTATGGAATATCTTAGGAACAACAACAGTTTTTTCGATTAGTTAAGCTGAAAAAAATGAAGAAGAAACTGATGATGTTTTAATATGCTTACTTTGTGCCAAGGATGAGCTTTTATCTGAGGGAATTTGAATTCAGTGTAGTTAGGATTCATACACTTGATTTCCTCTCGTGTTGGTGTTCCAAGAACCTGTAATCAATCAATACACACAATCATAAAGGTTAATGCCAAACAATTCGCTAGAAAGGGAGCCTCTACATTGCATATTATCAATGTTCAACCAAGTTGAAAAGTACCTTAATAATCTCGACTAGTTGGTCAACTCCACTCTCACCTGGAAACAGAGGCTACCAAGCCAAAGATTGGTTTAAGACACACAACTTTAGAGACATCATTCAAATATTCACAAAAAAAAAAAGGGTTTGGAGAGTCAAAGTACCTGTCCAAGGAGCAACTCAGCAAGAACACACCCTGCAGACCATATGTCAATAGCTGTTGTATATTCTGTAGCTCCAAATATAAGTTCAGGTGCTCTGTAGTAACGGGAGCAGATATATGAGATGTTTGGTTCGCCTTTCACCTGTTACAATGTACCAACGCTATGTTCAGTTTACATTAATCTTTTATCAACAAATGTTAAGGACTATCTCTTATTGATAATAGATGCTATACCAGAACTTTAGCGCTACCAAAGTCGCAGAGCTTGACTTGATGTGTATGAGGATTAACCTAAAAGAAGCACAAAGATTAATATGAATATACCATTAGAGAGTTAATTAACCTGACATCTCAACTTAATAAACGAACCAGAAGATTCTGTGGTTTAATGTCTCTGTGGCAGACTCCAACTCCTCCATGAATATATGCCAAAGCTCTGCAAATCTGCAGGAAGACAGTAAAAGAATTTCAGAAAATCAATGCAACAAACAATGTTGAATTAACCATATAGTTTACCTGATATGTATAGAGTTTAACATAGATCATGGGCATCCTCTGGTTAGCTCGACTGTAATGCTTTGAGACGCGGTAGACAGTCTCAGGAACGTATTCAAGGACCAAGTTGAGATACAACTCATCTTTCTCTGTCGTTGAGAAAAAGCAATGCTTGAGGGAGACAACATTAGGGTGATCAAGAAGGCGCATTGTCTGCAGCTCACGGTTCTTGTATCTCTTGTCTTGCAGAACTTTCTTTATTGCAACAGTTTCACCCGTTTCTAAACACTTTGCCTACATACAAAAGTAACAAAGATCAGAGAAGACAAAAGTTACTAAACTGAAGCTTTGGTATGTAAATAGAGACACTACCTGAAAAACGATTCCAAATGAACCTTGTCCAACAATGCGCTCTGCCATGTAACTTATGGTCTGAAAATAGCAAATAAAAAAAAATTATCAGAGATTTTTTAAAGACACAGCAGCAATTGCAAGTTGTCTAGTCATTGATGTGTATAGTAATGATGCTTCTTCTCTCAGCTTCCAATTAACAAAGAAATTATGCAAAGCTAACCTGTTTAGGCTGACCATTTTTACCACCAATGGTTGTAACAATAATGTGACCAGTCTCAGTTCCATTCCCATCAACCACAGCTGCTTCCATTTCCTACAAAACAAAAACACACATTAGTAACAAAAATAAATAAGCTTTATATTTGGAATCTGAGGGTTTTTTTTCAAACCTTATCATCTTTAATCTTCATCTCATTAATCCCTTCAGGTAGTTTATCAGCACATATGGAAACACTATTCTGTTTTGTAGCCATAGAAGAAGGTATTGTTCCAACAGAAGCCATTCTTCAAAATTCAAAATCTGTGAAAGGCCCAAAAAAAAAACACAAACATTGTAACAAAGCACAGAGACAGGTGAAGAGGATCTTTAGATCTTTAACTTAAACAAACCTAATTAACCACAACAACACTTAATCTAACAAAAGCTCCGTAATAATCTCTCGGAGTCATACCTCAAATGTCTCCGCCGCAGCTTCACTCCACCATCTTGTTTAAGCAGCAACTAGAAACTCTGGAAAACTCTCTTGTCTTTGCCTGCCGAGAATGGCAAATCTCTGTCTCTCTATGTGTAAAGCGGACGCCAATAGGTAGTTTCGAAGTTTTAGTTGATAGTTAGTTTTGACGTCCGGGGAAGAGGAAGAGTACCCGCACACGTGGCGTGTATTGGTTGGAGTATGTTAGATTCACGTCATTTGTGTTTGACTGCTTTTTTTAATGTGTCTGAATGTATTTTCCTCTAGTTTGGGGTGTATGGTAAGCTTCTCTTATAAAAACGGTTCGATTAAGTGGACATTCCGTGCCAGAGATTAATCCAACGGTTACGATTGAGAGGCGTAGGAAACGTGTTGTGGAGCGTGGCATATATTGATTTTCGTTCCTCGTTTTTTCGGTAGAGGAAAAAAGAAATCTCAGTTTTACGAAACCGCCAAGTCAGCAGACGAGCATACATAAACGCGACAAAAATTTTGGTCATATACGACGACAGGCCTTAAAATTTGATATACGAGACGATGTCGTATCTGTTCGACTCGACCGTTGGTCACATACGACAGGCCTTAAAACTTGATATACGAAACGATGTCTTTTCCGTTTTATTCGACCGTTGGTTCACACATGACAGGCCTTAAAACTGATATGGGCTTTATATGGCCTATTTTAGTTGAATAAAACTTGGGCTTTCTAATTGCAAGTGAAAGATAGTGTACACTGTACACGAACAGGTTTAAATGTATGTAATTTATCGGGGTGAAAATTAAACATAACAGTAAATATTATACCACATTGGTAATTAATTAATCACAAAAACATTCTATTAATAGACTGGAGCTGGAGAGAGATTTTCTCATCGAAACTCGCGGCTTGATCATCCTCCTCCTTCGAAAAGGTAAAAACCGTTTCCTTCTCTCATGCTCCTCTTCGATTCGATTCATAGTTTGTATCATCGTGGAGATTGTTGATAGGTTCTTCTACTTTCATTCATGGCTTTGATTTGGGTAAATTACACGATTGTTTCGATTTGGCTTTGATATCTTCTTGCAAGTTAAGATCCAATGTTATAGAATGTTCGTCACTGTGCTGCAAGGATCGTTATTTTTTTCAATCTAATTAAGAATTGGAATCGTATTGAGAGACCTGATCGTGGTTTATCAAATGATTCGTACTTAAATCGGTTTATTCAATTTAGTAATTAAAACTTTTCATTAGTTTTGTATTGATTTTGTTTTAATCTAATTAAGAATGAGAATTGTAGTGAGATTGTTTTGGACCTGATCGTGTTTTATCAAATGATTCGTATTTAAATCGGTTTATTCAATTTAGTAATTAAATTTTTTTCATTATTTTTGTATTGATTTTGTTTCTATCTAATTAAGAATTGGAATCGTAGTGAGATTGTTTTGGAACTAATCGTGTTTTATCAATGATTCATTCTTAAATCGGTTTATTCAATTTAGTAATTAAATTTGTTTCATTATTTTTGTATTGATTTTGTGTTTTGTGTTGTTGGGTAGCTTAAGAGAAAGATGGGGCTTAACTTCACGAAGCTGTTTAGTCGGCTATTCGCAAAGAAAGAAATGAGGATTCTGATGGTGGGTCTTGATGCTGCTGGTAAGACCACTATCCTTTACAAGCTCAAGCTTGGAGAAATCGTCACCACCATCCCCACCATTGGTTAGTTTTCTAGGAGATTTTTTTTTTGTTTATTACTCTTTTGTGTTTATTGCTTGTATGTGTGTGTGTGTGTGTGTGTGTGTGTGTCTCTGTTGGTTGTAAGTACATTGAGTTTTTGCTTCACGATCTAAAGGTTTCTGTTTTCAGGGTTCAATGTGGAGACTGTTGAGTACAAGAACATTAGTTTCACTGTTTGGGATGTTGGGGGTCAGGACAAGGTACATATTCTAACTCTTGCCTTGTCTGAGAATCATAGTTTCGTTTCTTTTTTCTTCTCTATATCACGTTTTTGTCTACCTAGTTCATGTAAAATCTACATTCACGTGGTTTCTGTATCCGTCTCCGGTGTTAAGGAGTGTTTGTTTTCTCTGTTTTCTTGACATTAAGCTTCTTTGACAAAACAAAACAGATTCGTCCCCTGTGGAGGCATTACTTCCAGAACACTCAAGGTCTTATATTCGTGGTCGATAGCAACGACAGGGACCGAGTTGTGGAGGCAAAGGATGAGTTACACCGCATGTTGAATGAGGTTAGCCTTTTTTTTATGGTTTTAGTCTTGTATATCACTGTAAGACCGAAACACTTTTCCATGGAACATGATTTTATAAAAACCATGTTTGCAGGATGAACTGAGGGATGCTGTCCTTCTTGTTTTTGCAAACAAACAAGATCTTCCCAACGCAATGAATGCTGCTGAAATAACCGACAAGCTCGGCCTTCACTCTCTTCGCCAACGCCATTGGTAAAGTCATCTTCTTATCCTTAGGTTGATCTGATCATACAGTGGGATATGATACACCTTTTATACTTTTTTTTTTACTTTAACAGGTACATTCAAAGCACTTGTGCCACATCTGGGGAAGGTCTCTATGAAGGCCTTGATTGGCTCTCCAACAACATCGCTACCAAGGTAAATTAACTAAATACCCTATTAAGTAAAACTATGTAAAAAAAATGAAAGGAACACTCTTTTGAAAGTGTCGATGCCCTTAAAGAACACCTTTTCGGATGCTCATCTCCATATTCAAACACTGGTATATTATTCATTAATATGTTATGTTCATGTTGCTGAAATTTGAGAATTTTGATTTGAGTAGGGATGATGAAGCTGCTGGAACACTTTTTGCACTTGAAAGAGACCGTTAGTGATTGTGGTGAAGAGAGAAAACTAAGAAGAAACAAAGTATTATGTGTGATATTTTGAACTGTCCGTTGGTATGTGTGTGTAGTCTCGCTGAAACTAACCTCTACTCTTTTTACTCGTGTAACGGATTTTGATATATCTTATCTTTTCTCTTAGAATATAAATCGCCGGTTTGGGACTTTCTAACATTAGCCTATAGTTTCTAAAGATAGTATACATAAACATAGACTTCTAAATTGTTAAAAAAATTAAATTATCTATAGACCATAAAATCTTAGGGACGACCATTCTTTTAGGCAGAAATATATTACAAAGAATGGAAGAGAGATGATAAGCAATTATCTCCACAGTTTCAGGAAATGATAAGCTAAGCTTCTGGACATGTCTTAATCCATTAAAAAGATTAGATGGATCATAACTATCACGATCTCCATATTTCTTCATAAGTTCAAGTTTAGCCAATACTCGACCAAATAGAATCCATGAAACGTTTTCTGTTAACCGCTAAACCCAAGTGTTTACTTTTGGGAAAGTGGAGATTTGGTGTGAAGGGAAGTCGAAGCAACTCTAGGTAAACCCTCGAGAAATGAGAATGCGTCTGTTTTTTACATGGTTTAGTTTGATCCGGTTTTCAAATTCGGTTTATGCTGATTGATCACTTGGACATTTCGACCTCTTAAATGTGGACATTATGTAATAGAATCGACACATGATGTAACCATGGAAGAGTCGAAAAATCACTCAAGGAATTACAACCATACTACGAAAATGTGAATCGTTTTGAAGGTGTTTTTTTATATTATCTACTACTCTTATAAATGTACACTACACTATCAAATTTCACATTATTTAGGCTAAGATAAATTCACATTATACATTCTCCGAAATTTCAGGACATCAACTTTTCAAAAATCCTAAAAACAATCGATTCTAATCATTGAATCTCAGTGAAAGAGACTCTACCAAATCCAAGATGACCAATCTGATACAACTCTAACCACACTCTCTCTGCTTCAATTCTTGCACTTGTTCTCGACTCTTCATCTCCTCTAACCGACGTCGTTTTCTCCTCCTCCTCCTCCTTAGTTAAACTCCCATCTCTCTCCACCACATACCGATGATGATGATCATCATCATCATCTCCCTCGGCCGTTTCAACATTGATTTTCCCGCGGCGTGGTCTCTTGTGTAGCCTCCGCTTGTTCTTGTTCTTGTTCTTCTTCTTCTTCCGGCTGCGTCCTAAGCATCGCCGGCCTATCATCCAAGGGACCTTGACGAAAGTGAGAGTAAGAAAGTTTATGATCGCACAAGGACAGCAACAGAGCGCTACACAATCAGCAATAGCCGCAGCCGCCCACGACCGGCATCTCTTGCCTGAGCATCTGCCTTCATCGACGTGAGCATGACGTTGTCGACGGGATTCTTCTTCGACGGCGTCGTTTTGACAGTGGGTTCCGACATCGTTTCTACGTGAAACTCGATGCGGGTTTTCCTCCATCAAAACTAAATCCTGCATGCTAGAAAAAACATAAAAGAGAGTAACACATTTAAGTTTTTGTTACACTTTATATATGCAAATATATAAGTATGGGGTTATGGATCAAAGTTTGAAAAAATAAAAAGGTTTCGCTTACAAGTTGATACGTATAGGTAACAGTAAAGAAATGAAGAAAACAGAGAGAGGTGTAGGAAACAACAACTTGAGATTTCCCATACACTTGATGACTCAAGAGTCAAGACAGTTCAGGTTTACATTCACAAGTCTCACACGCTCTCTTAATCCGCGTGTATGCCACGGTAAGGAAATGCCATAATAATTGAATGAAATATCTTATACTAACAGATGTGAGGAGCGTGGGGGTATCGGTTTCAAATTGTAGTTTTTTTTTATTTTGGACTTTTACCATCGGCAATTAAAAATGTTTGAATGTTTAATAAAGACATGTTTATTAGAAGACTCTTCCAATTCTTAACTCATGATTTTGATAATTTTTGGTTTTTGTTTTATATTTTTTATTTTTTAGCTAAAAACCGGTTGTTATATCTTTTATTTAAGAATCTAGTTAAAATGTAAAAAACGTATGTTAACAGAAATTAAGAATCCCATTTGAAAACCCCACAATAAACATGACCTATAGAATTTTTCTATGTAATGAGTTAATGATATCTGAGTTTTGTGGAGTATTAAGGGATGAATACTTTAATTTTTATTTTAACTCAGATCAAAAGGTTTTATTGATTGTTACATTCTATCATAGAAATACCAAGTAATTTGCAATTATTAAAATTAAAATATCTGAAACTGTAGAAGTCTTTTTGATCTATTAACTTGAATACAAGTTTATTACTCTTTTTATATGAGGAGTTTTGATTTCGAATCCTTAAAAAAAAAAAAAATTAAAAGAAAAAAGATTTATAAGAAATTTGCAGTATACCACAAAAAATATTGTCAAACATAGATTTTATAGAATGGTATAGGTTATTCAATCAAACATAAATTTTCATAAGACAAATCAAATTGAATAGGATTGAATATTATCTCATAATTTGTAATTACATAACTATCCAACATTAAAAAAGCATCTGAAACTAGTTTATGCTACAAACGATGATATGGACATTGTATAAGCTAATTATTATGGCAACTAATATCTATATTATTAAAACATAATCCTTCCATGAACTCAATTTTTTTATAAACTTTTAAATTAAATATAATGTTCAGTTACATAGTTAAACTCACACAAATAATTAATATTTCTTCTTCTATATTATTGTTATATCTATTTTCAAACAACACAGTAATTAATCTTATATTCAAACAATATAAAACATCATATATATATCACACAATTAATAAAACCAATTACAAAGATTTTATTAAATATTTATAATATAACATTCAGATTTAATATGAATACAAATAATATAATATATAATTTTCCAATATATTAAATTGAAATGTTTAAATTTTAATTATCGTAAAAATGTTAAAATTATAATATGTCATTCTAGGCTTATTTTTTGTCACAAATTAAGTGTCGTTTTAGAGTTTCGAGGCAAAATTTATTAATTTTATATAATATTCTATTTTTATATTGGTTGAAAAGTGGTTAGGTGTATATGTAATTGTGTTTTTATCTTGAAAATATGTAAAATTAAATATTTCTTTAATCTGTGTGCAAAAACCTAGAAGACAAATAAAGTGAAACGGAGGGAGTATTAATTTTGTAAATTAGCTTTTGTTTAAATTATTTATGTTTTTCTAATCATAGATTAAAATCTAGTTTTAATTAAAAGATTAACTATAAAAGATATTAAAAATTAACATCATTACGTGGGTGTTTAGTGGGAGGATTCTCTTTCACGTGGGTTGCCGGGTCTTCTTATGGCCCAATTACGTGGCCCGTATAAAATATAGTATAGAAAGCAATAGAAAAATAGTCCTCCTAAGTTAATAACTTATGAAACACTATATAATCAATCGCCCTTTTAAATAATAGTCCAACAAACTCTATCAGGAATTTCTTCAACTCATTGCAGAAAACGAATTTAATCAATGAGAAATATTTGATCATGCAGATGTTGCTTTTGACTCTTGCAAAGTTTGTAGAGTTGTATTTTTCTATGCTTCATCTTCACTAAAGTAAAAAACGTAAACAATATTAAAATATCATATTTGTTGTGTTTAGAGATTAAAATCATATTTTCTATTTGCTATTTTTATCGGTGTTGGACCTTGTACTGTTGTCCCTTTTCACTTGTATAAGGTGAAAGTGCAAACTGGTGGGTGAATTTAAAAAATGCAATTTGCATGTTCATATGCTATATAGTCTGTGTAAATGGTTAATCAGCCAAATTTCGATCTAAGGACATTTTTCATAAGAAGACAAAGAAAAATCAAAATCAGCTATGAAGTCCATGTAATTAATCATATGATCAGGATTTAAAATAAATATAGCTATACCAAAGTATTTATCAACGATGAACACAATAACTAATTAAGAGCATGGTCATAATTAACTAATTGGGAAAGGAAGAAATTGGGCCCTATAAAGTAACCCTGATCGAAAACGATGAGTCATGAGAGAAATGTAAAGATTGATAATAGTGCATGGTTTACCTTGGAGGATTCCTTAACTCGCTTTCCGTTGGGGTATTTTATAGTTATGTACGCATATAACATAAGGCATCAATGGAAATACATTTTCATTTGATATTTTGTGTATTGTAATAATCTTAAGATATAAGCTGTGGTTTGGTATGATGGATATCAGGATATGGTGAAGGAAATAGAAGGAGATTAAAACCCCCTCAAACAAAAAGAGGGAGAAGAAGAAGAACAAAAAGTGAGGATGAAGAAAGATGATTTGACCTAGCAAAATGGGGAAAATGGGCATTTAATTCCCCAAGTATTTGAAATCGGCAATTTTAATACTCAAGTATTGCTTGCGCAGAATTATTCCTCAACTAATAGTTGACTGCACAAAATTAGGAACGAAATAGTCAACTGTTAACTGGTTAACGGAAAGATAACGGTTTCCGTCAACTTTTTAACGGTTGACTATTTCGTTCCTAATTTCATACAGTCAACTATTAGTTGGGGAATAATTATGCACAAGAAATACTTGAGTAATTAATTTGCCGATTTAAATATACTTGAGGAATTTAAAAAATAAATTATTTTTTTAAAAAAATACATAATTTAAAAGATTTTCAAGTCAGATACAATCAATATTCGAGATTTTTACTTTTTGAAAGAGATTTTTGAGTTTTTACAATAACATGTACAATAATAAAAATAGTTATAGTTGTAGTTTATTGTTGATGTACTTCATGTTTATAAAATCACATATGGATGATTTCATATCATTTACGGAATCATATGTTGTAAATTAGATCTTTATTTTAGACTAGGGATGACAAAAAATATCGAACCGAATGAAACCGAACCAACTGAACCGAACCAACTGAACCGAAATTGCTCCAAACCGAACAAAACCGAGTTAAACCGAACCGAGAAAACAATGTGCTTTTGTTATTATTTGAAAACTAAAGTCTCTATTAACTTTATACAATATACTTAAATCCTAACACTAACGATTAACTTTATTAAGTTTTTTTAAAAAAAAAAAAAAATCTATTTACTTTAGTTAACTTTGGTTTGATTGTGTTCTTATAAAAAGATGATGATTTTCAGATTTTTTTTTCAGTTTTATATTATAATTAATTTACATAAAACATGATTTTTATTAAAATAACTAAACTAAAGGAAAACAATTAAACCAAATTGAAACTGATCCAAACCAAACTAATTATGGTTTACTTCAAATGGAAAATTTCGAGAACTATATTAACTAAACCGAACCGAACCGAAAATAACGAAAGTTTCTACTCCTACTTTAAATAATCATATGTAGTTACCTCTACTTTAGACTATCAGATATTGTACATCATCAATGCAATGCAATGCAATGCAATGCGTTATCTTATTTTATTTTCTTTTGTAAAACTCCAAAATCCATTTTCAGTAAAAGGTATCTTGTATATTTGTTCCCATTGTATATTTGTTCAAATTGAGAATCTTTTTAATTTGAAATTATTTTAAAAATCATCTTAAGTTATTTTATAAACATGAAATATATCAACAATAAACTGCAATTATAATTATTTTTATTATTGTACATGTCATTGTAAAAACTCAAAAATCTCTTTCAAAAAGTAAAAATCTCGAATATTGATTGTATCTGACTTGAAAATCTTTTAAATTATATATATTTTTAAAAAAAAATATTGATTTTTTAAATTCCTCAAGTATTTTCAAATCGGCAAATTAAATACTCAAGTATTTCTTGCGCATAATTATTCCCCAACTAGTAGTTGATTGTATGAAATTAGGAATGAAATAGTCAACCGTTAAAAAGTTGACGGAAACCGTTATCTTTCCGTTAACTAGTTAACAGGTTGACTATTTCGTTCCTAATTTCGCGCAGTCAACTATTAGTTGGGGAATAATTCTGCGCGAGCAATACTTGAGTATTAAAACTGCCGATTTCAAATACTTGGGGAATTAAATGTGCATTTTCCCTAGCAAAATGCTCCATTTATATATACTTGTATTATATACAGTTTATGTACACGTGTAAAGAAAGACTTAAACACGAATTTGTTTCACGGTATACCACATAAAGAGCCATATTTATATAATAAGATAGTTAGATACGTATGTAAAATTTTATTTGAATTTAGTATTAGGTTCGACCAAAACAAAGAGTAATATAAGTTTTTATATATGTACGATAAGGTTTTTGTGTTAATTTGGGGTAGGAATCGGAATATCGGATGATCCAGACTTTTTATTTAACTTAAAACTGAGCAAGATCAATTATTAGCATATAGTTTTAGTTTAATATGATAGCATGAATATCCATTACGATTTTATGCTTAAGCTAACCCAAAACTTATAGCTTTTTTTTTTTTGGTCAACTACCAAAAACG